ATATCTCTTGTGGTTATTCCTTGATGACTCTTCAGATGGACCCTGATAAGATAAAGTAAACACATGTGATTTCTCTTCTCTGGAAGCATATATTTGAGAACAGATAATAATTGGCATGAACATTTAACAAACCTTTATGGATAATATTTAGCAAAAACAAAGTATATAAAGCCAGAGGGCTAAGACACTTTAATACGGTAGGTTTTAGAGTACTCTGGCTGAGCAGGACAGATAGACTTTAGCTTAAGCCGAGTTCTTGAGAAGGTGCATTAAGTGTTTGTCTTCCCGGGAGCATTGTTTAGTGACCCTTGTCCCCTCAAGTTGATCCTGCAGAGTTGGGTTCTATCCTGTTAAGGTAGATGCTCTTGAGAGGCTCACCTGGAAGCTTGCGAATCTGAGATACTCTGCTAATCATGAGACAAAGCCATGGTTAAAGAGACCTTTTATTTCAGGACTTTGCTCTTGCCTCTGAACATCAGTCTGATGCTATTGGGCATCTATGAGATCTGTAGCAGAAGGATAGCCCAGAGCACGCTGACCATTTCTAAAGGGTGAATTGGATGCCCTTTGCTTCTGCGATTGTAGAAAGTATTTATGAGCCATGATATCTGCCACTGGAGTGGCTTGGTAGTTGTCTGCATTTGCCACTGCCTGGAAAGGTAAAAGGGGATTGGAACATCGCCGTAGAGGCAAGATAGAACAGTACACCACTTACAGCTCTGTGTCCTTAGATAAACTATGTAACCTCTCTGGGTTCCATATCTGTCAAACTTGAGTAACGTGAGACCTAATCCATGTGGTGGTTACAAGGATTAGAGGTTGTCACGTGTGGCTCTTGGTAAGTGCTGGGTAAACAAAGCCCTTCCTGCCGAGTGCTGTTACCGTGCCACCATCTGGCCTCTGCCATGCTGAGCTGTCCCCTACCCTGGGCCTTCCTCGTCGGGCCTTTTAGTCGTGCAGTGCTGGTGAGCATGGTTCGTTAGCTAATTTCAAAGCTCATTCTCCTTGGCTCATTTACCAAAACCAGACAGAGATTAATGGTCTGGCCTCAGAGGATCGGGCAGGCACGTGTTTCTGGTGCCTTGGCCCACTGGTCATGCGTCTGCAGTTCAGGGAACGCTTGGATGTCCCAGGAAGAGGTCTCCCGAGACCCAGGAAACCTTGAAGGAAAGTAATTTGGTGTAAACTCACCTCCCAATTAAGGAGGGCTAGAAGCCTTACATTTTACTATTCCTTCTGGATTTTGCCATTTATAAACAGAAGCAAGTTTCTCTTGCATAGAATGTTTGAATTTAGTGGGAGAAATACAGTGATAAAGGGTGGCTGAAAAAAATACTTGCCAAAATACGGTCTTTTCCTTTTTACTTACCTTATCCAGCTTCCCAAGTTTCGTGAGTGTCAATCACCAGGGATCGCTGGTCCTAGCCATCACGGGGCTGCCCACTCCACTTGCAGGCCACAAGGCCCTGCAGGGTCATTCGCTGCCCGCCCCTCCCTGTCTCCATCTTCTGCCCTTCTCTGCCCTGCGCTGATCGCCAACCATGCTGGCCTCTTCCCTTGGAAAAGCCGTGCTTTTTCCCATCTCAAGGACCTGCGTTTTTTGTTGGCATCAGTGTGCCCAGGTCTTCCCAAGAAGCTCTCTTATCCTTCAGGTCTCCTGCAAATGTCACCTCTTTGGAGAAGCTTTTCCCTGCCTCAGGTCCCCAGCCCCCCCCCCCCTTTAACTTTCTCTATTGGACTTATCAATATTTGAAGTAATCACATTTGTGCATCTGCTTATTTCTGTTTTCTTCACTGATGGGAAAGTTCCACGAGAGCAGAGATCATAATTGCCTAGTTCATCTGTATTCTCAGCACCTAGAACGCTGCCTGATTACTGTAGGCCCTCAATAGACATGTGTCAAATGTGTGAATGAATGAACAAATTGATGAAAGTTGCACACAACTTTGGAAATTACCCATTCAAGAAGTCTTCAGGCCGGGCGCGGTGGCTCACGCCTGTAATCCTGGCTCTCTGGGAGGCCGAGGCGGGCGGATTGTTTGAGCTCAGGAGTTCGAAACCAGCCCGAGCAAGAGCGAGACCCCATCTCTATTAAAATCAGAAAGAAATTAATTGGACAACTAAAAATACATAGAAAAAATTAGCCGGGCATGATGGCGCATACCTGTAGTCCCAGCTACTTGGGA